AGCACGTTGATCAGATCTTTATTAACATGTCCTGCCCAACTTCATCATCACCCTTTAAAGTAATGTAAAAAAGATTATTCAAGGAACCACCAAGACTAAATGAATGGAGCAGCAGTTCCCTGAATAGACTACAGCAACTGAGGTTATTCGAATTTAAAAAGGCAAGACAAAAACTTTTTTTCTATCTTTTGCGTGTGTTGCAGGAGAGGAAGAATATGGGTCAGTATTTCCTCCTTGAGAAAATGAATTTAAGTGAAAATAGGTGAGTTTCGGTTGGACACAGGAAACAATTTCATGAATGTCAGTGAACAGTAGGAAAACTATGTAAGAAGTGCTTTGGGACCAGAAGGGGGTCTGTCCTGGATGGTTTGAACGTTGACTGTTCTAAGAACTGGGGCCTGAATCACACTATTTGTTGCAGGTCCAGTCCTCTTGTTCTAGAGCCACCGTTAGTCAGCGATGTCACAAACGCAGCCAGTTTCAAGAATCTCCAAGGTTCTCACAGTAACGGTTTCAAAGCTATTTTTCCTATGGCCTGGTCAGGAAAAAGTATCTCCAAAGGCACTCGTATCAGCGCCCCTGACCTACTGGGGCTTGCCTATGGTTTGCCTCTCTTCTCCCCACCCTCACCCAGAACTGAGCCCCCTCACTCTATGTTACTGCACAATCTACTCGCTTCTCTTATCCTCTTGTCTTTCGTTAAGTGCGCCCTCTCACTGAGGGAGGGCCACATCGCCCTCTAGTCTCGTTTCCTGAACACCCTCAACTCTCCTCACTTCACCTATTCTGAGCCGATCCACCCCCCAGCCTTATCCCCACGCCCACTCCCTCACGTCGTCCAAGACGCTTTCCCCCTCCAGCTGCCCGGCCCCATTGATGTTGCCGAAAAGGAAACCGGTTAACGAAAATGGGCCGCCTCCAGCGGAATCTTCATCACTGTCCGTGTCTGACATGATGGCGGCGTCGGTGCCGGTAACGGCTTCGGGGAGCAGCAAATTGCGGCCTAGTGCCACAGACCGGAAATAAAACATGAGTCGCACAAAAGTGACTTACAGAGTTCTTTGACCCCACCCGCCCATACCGGAAGCGGAATGAAGGAAAAAAAGAACCGGAAAAACCGCCCGTCCTACGAGAAGGGAGAATTGGTGTCACTACTTTACTAGCGGCTATTGATTGGATTATACGCGATCAGGAGGCGGGAGACGTGAAAGGCGGTTGGTCAAAGAAAATGTTCGGTCCCGCCCCCGTCTACTTATCTGCGTACGCCCTTTATCAGCGCACCGGATACGAGTGACCGCTCTCCGTCCAATCGGGAGTTGCTACCTCGGTCACGTGACCTGCGTCCCGGTAACAGCAAGTCACCGCGCCGCAGTACGCGGAGTAAGGATAAGAACCCGTCTTTTTCGTCTGTGCTGTCTGATCCTGTACTGCTTCTTCCCAAAGAGAAACTGTTCGTGAATTGCACCGTGCCAAAGGTACCTTTGCAAGTTAGTTGTTTTGAACTGAAATTTCCCCCAGAAATGGGTGCCCCCCCCCGTTTTCTTTGGGAAGTGTGAAAATAAAAAACGAGTAAAGTGAATAGCCGACCTTTCACCTACATTCATAGTTTTAACATTGTTTTTCCTGAACCATTTGAAAGTGGATTACAGATACTGCGATTCTTCACCCCGAAAAATATTTTTTCCTACATAACCACAATACCATTATCACATGTTTAAAACTTAACGTTAATTCAGTATCCTTTAACAAATAGTCCATATTTAAATTTCCTCAATTGGCTTAATTGAAACCTTTTACATTTCTGTCTGGGATCCACTGCGAGTTTATGCATTGTATTTGCTTTTCTCTCTTTAGACTGAATCCGGGATCCACCAACCTTTTTTCTTTGTGTTTCACCACACATTTTTTTAAGAATCCAGGCAAGTTTTCTTGAAAATATTCCATATTCTGAATTCGTCTAATTTTTTCTTCAAAGTGACTCAGGTTTATTATCTTACTCGCCATCAGAAGACACAATGTCAGGTTGTCCAAATATTGGTGATGCGAAATTTGATCACTTCGAAAAAGTGGTGTCCACTTCTCCATGGCAATGGCACATTTTTCTTTTTGTAGTTAGTAAGTACTCTGTGGGGTGATACTTCGAATTGTGGGAATATTCCGTTCCCCATCACCCCTAATCCAATAGTTTTAGCACCAATTGATGATCCTTGCCTGAATCCGTTATATTGGGAAATTGCAAAAGGGTGATTTTTCTAATTCTTTAATTCCTTGTAAAAAAGAAAAAGAAAAAAATTCCTTCTACATTTATTAACTGCACTTACTCAGTAAAGAACTTTCCCTTTTCTTACCTCCTTTCTTGCATTTTTATTTTCATGTGTTAATAATCCAACACCATCATTATCCTTTTTGATGCTCAAACTGTCCCAAATTTGTCCAATGGGAATCACATCACTCTGGCTCCTGTGTTCTTTTGACATGACCCCATTTGTCTCAGAACTTCCTCGCTTTTTGGCACAAGATGTTCCAGGCTTACTCTATGCATTCCCTGTCTGGGACCCGATATAAGCCATTTCTCCAAGGAGCCCTGGTTCCTTTTAGTGGGGAAGGGTGCTTAGAAACTGGGGCATCATTGCTTATAGGCCCTTTCAGTGGAGAGAGCTAAAAAAATTTAATGAATAATGAGTTTATACTAGTACCTTCAAAATCTAACCCAGAGGGTTCTCCTTTGTCTTTCCCCATTTCATATGTGTGTCTTGTTTCTCTTACAATGAAAACTTTGATTCCCAACACCAATATATTTACTCTTTTCAGAAGTACAAGACCAATACCACTACCAACAATAAACCTAAATTCAGAAGTTCTTTGCACTTATCTGTCCTTAGAATATGTATCCTGTTCAACAATATATGGTGTCCTGTGTTTAAAAATTATTTGAATCATATTTTTTCCTCTGGAATTGTCTCCTTTTTTATTCAACTTTGGGACAAAAATTTTTACAAAATTTTTATTTTTAAAATATGTGAACTTCCATATCGTTCAGTCAAAACTATATAAAAAGCAGTTCCCAGAGAAGTCTTGCTCCCATGCCTATACCATCTGCCCCATTGCCACCCACTCCTTTTAAGTAACCATTTTCATTAATTTCTGGCTTATTCTTCCTGTTTTTTTTTAATTTGAGGTGTAATTGACATTAGCATATTAGTTTCAGGTGTACAGCATAATGATTCAATATTTGTACTTCCTGTGTTTCTTTTTGCAAATACAAGCAAATTAGTGTATATATTCTTGTTTCTTCTTTTTCATTACAGAAAGGTAGTATACTATATCTATTCTTTTCACTTTGCTTAATAATATAGCCTGGAAATCACACTGTACCACGTCATAGTGCTCTTCCTCGTGTTTTTTTTTTCAATAATTTATTTCATTTATTGGTTCTGTTTGTTTTGGGGGGAGGTAATTAGGTTTATTTTACTTATTTATTTTAGCGGAGGTACTGGGGATTGAACTCAGGACCTCATGCATGCTAGACATGTGCTCTACCACTGAGTTCTACCCTCCCCTCCTTGTTCTTTTTTTATGTCTGTTTAATACTTCATTGCATGGATGTCCCATGTTATATTTTAACAGTACTTTCATTTCTAGGCCAGATGACAAAGGTCTGCCAAAACCTGCATGCAGCTGAAAGTCACTTTGGTAATGAACGGTTAGTAGAATACTATTGCTATACTAATATTTTAAGACAAAAAGGCAGAATGGAATATGTTTTTAAATGTATCTTATAATGTCTCTCAGATGCTTTTGATTGAAGAAAAGTGGGTTCAATGATCGGTAGGTAGAGGCTTATAGAATGTGGAAGGGGACCTCAGATACTGTAAATATTAAAGATGCCATTCTTGACTCAAAATGTGGTTTTGCATTAATTTACCATGTGACCCAACAATTCCACTCCCAGGTATATTCCCACGAGAACTGAAAACACATCCACACAAAACCTACACGAAGGTTCACAGAAGCATTATATGTAATTGCCAAAATGTAGAAACAATCCAAATGTCCCTCAACTGTGAGTAGATACGATATACAATATGGTATATCCATACAATGAAATATTTTTCAACAATAAAAAGAAATGAAGTACCCATACGTGCTTCAAAATGGATGAACCTTGAAAACATGCTAAACGAAGGGAGAGTTCCTTCCACATATTGAGTCTATTTATATGAAATGTTCAGAAAAAACAAAGTAGATGAATGGTTGCCTAGGGCTGGGGGTGAGAACAGGGATTAACTGCTTGAGGAATCTCTTTGCAGTGATGGACATGTTCTAAAACTGAATTTTGGTGATGGTTGCATGACTCAGTAAATTCACTAAAAATCATTAAGTTGTACACTTACATTGGGTGAATTTCATGGTATATAAAGTGATATCTCAATAAAGCTGTTTAAAGAAACCAAAAACATGGTTTTGCTCTTCCTTAAATCATGCACTTAATAGGGCACCAGCACTATTTACAATCACCAGCCAGGATTAGTTCATTTTTATAACAGAGGAAGGATATTTTCCTGAGATAACTGGAAGAGGCAAAAGACATTAAATGATACATCTTATCTTTACAACCCAGTTCCCAGCACAGTAATGCCTGTACCACAAAAGGAGCTTGAGAACTGTTGACTGAATGTAGTGTAACAAGTGAGAAAAATCTCCCAACAGGGAAGCAACTGATCTGTCCTTGGTGAAAACCAGGAAATGAAGCTAAATCCTGGAGATGAATAGGTGGGGGGTGGGCAGGAACTAGAGAATCAATGTTAGCAGGGCAGACAGTTCCCTGAGTATCTGGTTTAGAAAAGTAAGTACAGTTACTCACAGGTGCAGTGTGCAGCATGACAATTACAGTTATTTCATCTGTTGTAAATTGAAAAGCATTTAGAAACCACCCCAAACAAAATGGGGAGGGGGTGAGGAATTGCTCTGATTTTTTTTTAAGAAAGCAACAGACCCAGTAAAATCAGAAAAGTTTATTATCATTCATTATGAATAACTTAAAAGTGATATTAGCATGTTAGTCTTCATACAAATTTCTTTTAAGTATAAAAACCAGGATGTCAGTGTATGCTTAGAACCATTAAATCAGTCCAATACAAAACCACTCTCTCAGACTTGTGGATCACACCTCCATTTATTAGAGGACACAAGTTGCCCAAACCACACCCAGGCTTACATTTGGGAATTTGCCAAGCAAAGGGCAAGTAGGAGGCACTATTCAATTGAAAGCCAACTTAAAAGATTTCAGTAGCTAAACAAAAGGTCCCAGAGACACAGATGACAGCCATGGTCCTAGTTCCTTTCAACCATGAAGTCCTGTGAGCCCCCAAGGTGGCATCAATCAGAACATCCTGAGACTGGAAGACACTTTCATTCAGCTGCCTGTGGTCAGTGGGCACCATGCCCACAGGCCAGTTGACGCCTACGGTGGCCATGTGACTATAATAGGAGCCCCACTTTCCGAAGTGCTACTGGGCCAACCTCACCCTCTTCCAGTTAACACACTGTTCATATAGAATCTCTGCCACTTCCACAGGAGGCCCTGGGTCACACGCCAGAAGAGAGAGACAGTACATTGACATTGAGATAGGAGGCATATGCTGGACAAGAGTATTCATCCCAGCTTCTCTGCAGCTTTAGACAATCGGTGTAGAAGTATACACCAGTGAAGTACTGTGTGAAGTGGAGGGCACAGTGACAAAGGAAAAACAAAACCAAACACTTTAGGCCAATCTGAGGGAAAAGGGAAACCAGAAGAATAGGAGGAAGAGAGAATTTACATAACCTTGTATCTTCTATCAAGACTTGATACTTGCTTGACCTCCAGGTTCCAGATTATCCAAGTGTAGGGTTGCCAGATTGAGCAAATAAAAAGGCAGGATGCACCCATTAAATGTGATTTCTGATAAATGGCAAACAATTTGTTTAGTGTATGTCTCAAATACTACACGGTACATACTTACACTGAAAAAAAAATTTCAAAGAAATTATTTTATCTGGCAACCCTATCCAGGAGGATCAGTTAGCCTGAGGTTACTCTGGTCATATCTCATCAAAGAGCAAAGGCAAGACCATCACAGAGCAAAGCACAGACATGTCACCTACCCCAAGGGGAGGTATGTGATCCTTTCCGCTCCATTTCCCAAACTCTCAATCCCATGCTATTCTGGCAGGGTGAGAGGCTGTGCACACATAGGAGCTGCCAACCACTCTCTGCCAGGTGGAGAAGTTGTTTTCCTTCTGTAGCACGTGAAGAAGGGCAAAGATACAACTAGGGAGAAAAGGCAGCAGGCCCACTGGGATGTGGACTCTTGACTCCCACAGCCCCAAGGCAGGCTGGGCAACTCCAGCAAAACCCCAATGAGGGGGACAACAGCCCTGTGGTCTCGAGACCCAACGTACCCCAAGTCTCTTCGAGCAACGAAAAGACCTCAAAAGGCACACAGGGTGGAACGACACACACACACACACACACACACACACACACACACACGGAGATGTAGAGAGAAGGGAGGAACAGGAAGAGAGCAAGGTAGCCTTTAGAGTGACTCCAAGGAATGACATCAGAAGTCTCAGGGAATCATAGAACCCCCTGACCATGACTGGCAGGACGTCTGGTTGGTTGGTTGGTTTTATTTAGGGGGTTAGTCTTCAGTGGTCTTTGCTTAAAGCAGAAGGTGACAGAAAAAAGGGGCCACACAGAAGCCGCAGAGACACAGCTTTTCAGAGCGATTGTTAATTCCACGTTACCAGGCCCATAGTGCTAGCAGAATCAGACAGCAGAGCTGAACATCAGATCCCACATCCAGTGCGCTATCGTGACTTAAGTGCCAAACCCACCTCCTGAGGATGGGAGAGGAACCAGTAACAAGTCCGTGGCTGGGAAGCATTCCTCTCAAAGGCATGAAGAGGGAAACATCACAAAGAACAGGACCACGTATGCTTTTTTTCTTCACAGTCTCCTCCCTGGGAATTCCTAGACCCTTTTAACCCGGCATCTCTGAACCTGTGTTCCCAAAGATGTTAATAGGTGTCACATGGGACCAAAACAAAAAAGTTCAATGAAATAAGTTTGGGAAATATTGCATACTTACTAAAATTATACATCCCTGCAGTAGAAGAACCTATTCAGCATTATTTAAATCACTGATTCCTGCCTTATTAGACCATAGGAACCCTTTTAAGAAACATCTATTGCCATATCATCTAGAACTCTGAAAAATGCTGCTTAACCATTATTGCAAAACTGTCTCATCTCAAGAATGGAAAGAACATGTCAACACTGGTAAACACCCAGGAATCATACATAAAATGCTTTTCAGAAATCAATATGGCAGAAAGTTTAAGGCAATGATTTGAAAACTTGGAGAAACGTGTCCTTCTGGGAGGCACTCGTTCAATGGTAAATACAGCCAGGGAAGCTGAAATTGGATTTAAAAACTAGCCAAGCAGAAGCCTCCAAAACAGCACGAGGCTGCTCTGCTCAGTCGTGGCCTGGCCAGGACAGAAAAGAACAGCACTTGGTGGCGTCTCCTCTTACGGCTTTGACACAGGAAACACGCACACTCACACGCTCTCAAACTTCCTCTAAGAGATTCAGACCAAACATCGAAGCCACCAGGTACAAACTCGCCTCTCTTCATTCCTCCAAAAGCCGAATAACCTGGAGTCTAGGGTTTCCAGAAGAGAGAAATGGCTCATGCTGGCACTGTTAAATGCTGTCAAAGGGATCACACCCCCCACCCCCAATTCTTTTGAGGTGCAGTCCCCAAGCAGCACCCTGGCAGCTATAAGAGGACACACTTCTTGGTGTTCTTCTTTGTGGCAGGGTAAAGCACAGCCCGGACAGCTTCCGAAAATACCTCATGGACCCCATCCTGCATCAGGGCCGAACACTCCAGATACTTCACAGCCCCGACCTGCTTAGCCAGGGAAGTGCCTTGCTGAGGGGTTGTGGGCACTAGGCTCTGTTCCTTCAGCCTTTTCACCGTCTCAAGGTCACTCCGCAGGTCCCTCTTGGTGCCCACCAGCAAAACAGGTACGTTGGGGCAATGATGGGAGACCTCTGGGTACCACTTATGCCTCACGTTGGCATAAGAGGATGGGTTGCCAATGGAAAAACAAATGACAAAGATATTGGTCTGGGGGTAGGAGAGCGTTCGCAGTCGGTCATACTCCTCTTGGCCAGCGGTGTCCCACAGGTTCAGGCTGACGATTTGGCCATCCACAGACGTCTGGGCGCTATAGTTGTCAAAGACAGTGGGGATGTACTCCTCAGGAAAGGCGTTCGTTGTGTAACTGATGAGGAGGCAGGTCTTACCCACTGCCCCATCTCCCACAACCACACATTTGATCGTCTGCATTCTTCCCTTGGAGTCCTGTGTACAAGAGACAAAGAAAGAATGTTCACAGACATTTGATTAATTTAGGGAGCCTAAGTTGTATCAGCGTTTCTCTCTGAGGAGGAAGAAAGGAGGTAAGACCCCCACTGCCTGGCCCCTTAACACCACAGAAGAGTCAGCTGGGAAAGGTTGTATAGGGCAAAGTTTTCACCATGGAGTCCATGGGTTCAGGCTTCAGTAGATTCTAGAAGCCGCCTCTGAAGTTTGCAATATTATGTGTACGTGCATAAGTAAATGTTTCTTGAAAGAGGATCCAAAGCTGTCATCAGACTCTCAAAAAGGGCCGTGAGCCCCAAAAGATTATAACCCGTTGTATGCATAGGTATTTATGTTACACTGTTGTCATAAGGTCTGCACATATTGTATCAAAAGTGCCAAAATATAGTAGATGCTAGGTAAATGTTAACTAATTTTAAAACACTGGTATAGAAAGAAGGTTGCCAAGGTTGAAACAAAAGGAAACAAGGTTCTCACTTCGGGTCTGTGGCTATGGACTCAGCAAAGAAACACTCTGTTCCTGAAAAATAATAACATCATAATATTGGAGAGAAAGGCCAGTCAGACTCAGCCACACAGGGAAGCAGTAAAAAGTCCAGACTCTGAAGTCAGACGGCCTGGAGTCATAAACTAGTCCTCTCTTTTCCTAAGCTTTGTGAACTTGGGCAAGTTTTTAACCTGAAGTGTGCCGTCCTTTTGAGCGCCTGCCATATAGGAAGTACTCGTTAAGTGTTAGAAGCTACTCTGACTTCACAATAATTACTGTTCTGCTAGGGAAGGCAAAACTTCTGTAATGTGATTACAGTGCTCGACAAACCAGGGGTCTCATCTCTTCCCACTCTATCCAGGTAAACCTACAGGTTATAACACCACCATATTCTCATCCATTTCTTCATGAATCAAGTTTTTGCGAGTTCATGGTACAACACGGTGATCTCCAAAGAGCATGTTTACTACGAGATGCCATGTTTATACCCCCATATTAATCTCCTGTCAATGCCCTACCCTGTTGGTGCCCCCAATGCACTCCATTTTCTTTAGCTTCCTAATTACTGCCCTAATTTTAGACCCGATCCTTATAGCATTAACTTCAAGTGTCAGAACATGGAGGAAAGGGGAATTGTCACATGTACTTGATGATAGAAAAAAAATTGGGAATCAATTCATTTCTCACCTTGGGAACCTGGGGGAACAGATACATCCCCAACCCTGTTGTCTTATCAGTGAAGGTCTACATTAGACCCATGTCATGGACAAAACCAAAACAAAACAAAACACCTCATTTGGAGTAAAGAGAAGTTGGCCTTCTCAGTGCACTTCACATGGGCCCACTAGGGGTAGCTCTCTCCTCACACAGCCAATTCTGACCAGCGAGGCATTCCACCTAGAAGCCTTTCTTAGTATGGGGCCCACAGCTAAAAGTCCAGAGCCTAATTCAGCTTTAGTAGGCAACCCTCCCAGAGTAGTCACTGACTGTCAGTTCTGTCTTTTTCCATCTAGGAACAGGCTTAAGGACCAAACTCGCAAGGCCAATGGAAACAGGGCGAAGTCACCACCACATTCCTTGAGAACAGGCTTCCTTAACTTTCCCAGTCTGGATTAATTTCTTTCTCCTCCGATAGCAATTACTGCGTGTACCACTCATATTCCCAGCCTCCTCTAAGTATCATCCAGTGTCTGCTCAAAGTGACTGCTTTCAGGACAACAGTGCATCTGAGGGGGCTGCAGAACCAGAGCAAAATTCTAAGGCACACTTTGTACCCCAAGTTTAGCTTCTCATTTCTATAACTAGGAAAAGCCATCTACACTCATTTCTACTTGTTGACGTCTGCCAATACTCCTGGTACCTATAATACGATCTATAGATGGGCACTCGAGTCACACTGATGGTGGGCCTAGACGATGAAATGCAGCTAGAATATCCCGGGTCTGAACAAAACCAAAACATTCTTACCTGTAGCAAACTCTCAATGGAAAGGAGGGTTCAGCAAAAGTCCCAGGTATTTGGGGCAGGGGGTGGGGTGCTGCTTTGTACAGTTGACTCACTTATTCAGCCCACAGGGTCATTATATGACTTTCTCTGCTTGTGTGTATGTTTGAAATTGTCCACAGTTAACAAGTTTAAAAATAACACTAAAAAATATATCCAAGAGAATTGAAGCCAGGACCTCAAAGAGATAACTGCACACCAGTGTTCACTGCATCATTATTCACAATAGCCAAGAGGTGGAAGCAACCTTCAACGTCCATCACTGGATAATGAATAAAGAAAAAATGATAATAATAAATATTTATTATCCAGCCTTGCAAAGGGGGAATCTTTTCATACACTATGACATGAATGAACCTTAAGGACATTATGCTCAGTGAAATAAGACAATCCCCAAAAGCCAACGACTGCATGATTCCACTCATATGAGGTATCTTGAATAGTCAAACTCATAGAAACAGAAAGTAGAATGGTGGTTGCCAGGGGCTGGGGGAAGGGGGAAATGGGGTGTTGTTTAAGGGATACAGAGTTTCAAATGAAAAAATTCTAGAGCTGGAGCACAACAATGTGCATATAGTTAACGTTACTATACCGTACACTTAAAAATGGTTTCAAATACCAAAAATAAAAATAATACTTTTTAAAGGGTTGGGAGCTCTGAGAGAAGCTAGGAATTACAAGAGAAAGGCAAATATTCTGTTCATCACCTATACGAGAAAAGCTTGTTCTGTTCAGCTCCAGGATGCAGCACAATGCTGTCCTGTTACAGATCACCCACAGCTTTCCCTCACCTCCACCACTATCCACACACTCTCTTGGGTACTATGATGCACAATGCATTGCTAGGAGGGACTCAAAAAAAAAGGCTGGTTGGTTGGTTTGCTTTTTGAAAGAGTGATGCTAGAAGCTTACAGTCTTATGGTAAAGGCAGGACTTTAATAAAAAGGCACACAATAATACACAGTAGTGCATGGCCCAGAGGGGAAAAAAAGTTGCTATGCGGAAGCAAAGGGAAACTAAAAATTGAGAGCCTATTATAGGCACTGTGCAAAGGGCTTTCACATATCTTATTTAAGCCTCACAGGAGCACTGTGAAGTAGCCATCAGATCAGCTCCGAGATCATTAATTATGCCTTTAGGATTAGAAACTGGAAGAGGCTTGGAGCTGCAGAGACCAACACCCCAGAAGGCTCCCTTCCGAGTTGGTCATTCACTTTTAACCTTAGAATTATAGTTTCTTCGAAATCCTCCAATCTCATCCGACAAAGCATCCTTCTTCACGTGTACCCTGCACAGCAGTCAGTTTTCTCCTAGGCTGGACACACAACATAAAAGACCGAGTAGCAGTCAAGAGAACAATGCAGCTCGAAGTCTTAATGTTTCTAGCACATTTTCCTCCGGGTCCCACCCTTTTCACAAGTCTAAGTCTAATCCACTGGAAATCATTCTGTGTAACTTTCTGAAACGAAAACAATTCAGCAGAGGATCCCCATTTTTATTTAATGCTTTCTGCAACTGAGTTATCTACTAAATCCGGGAAGCCTTTTCACACTGAAGACTGACTTCTTTGGTTCAAGTTCAGTCAAAGACGACTTCAGGACCCTCGGGGGCAAAGGAAGCCATGAGAACACTCCCCAACCCGGAGCCTGGGGACACTACCCTGCGCCTGAAACTTAACCAGAGAGGCAATTGCAGTGACCCAACGATAGCCGCCACAAGCCCGTTCGGCACTTCCCTCGCACCTTTTCCACCAAGGGTACTTGGTTCTGGAACTTCAGTTGGACCCATAAGCCTGGGAGAGAGAGGTGCCTCACGTCGGATTCACAAATCGGAAGAGCTGGCTCAACCTCCCTCGGTATACAAACAACTCATCCCACCCTCAAATCCCTCCCATCCAAGGAGTGGCTCACAGACGAAGGCAACTGCCCCGGGGACGGGGAGACTGGCGGAGAAAAGAGCGGACGTGGGGGCTGCCTGGAGGGTGGTTCTCGATGAGGATTACCGGACAAAGTGGTCTTCTCCTTGCGCCGTTCAACCGCAGCTGGCAGCCTCCCTGGCGTCTCTCGCTGGGCTGGGCAGGCTCGACGGGCTCGGCGCCACATCCGGGCAGCGACCGAGTCCCGCCCCGTCATGGGACGCAGCCTCCACCCGGTGCCCCGAGACCTCCTGGGAAATCGAGTTCTAGCGCCCGCCTCGCGCTTCGCGAGTCGCAGGCTTCTAAACTACACCTTTGCGGAATCAAGGATCACTGAGATCTGGACCCTAGGACCAGTTCCTCGGTTCAGAGGTCCCCGAGCTTCACGTTTCCCTTGACAAAGTGAGGCCACCTGCTCCTCCCCAGACCCCTGTTTTCTCATCAAGACAAATATTTTCATAAAGAGACAGCCAGGAAACTGAAAAAGCGTTAGGAAAAATGGAGACGAGAAAAGAAAATGTGGTAGTAAATTAGAGTGGCTCTCTGTCACCAGATAGTAGTTTGCATTTTCTAGAGTTTTATATAAATGGAATCATAATTTATGCAGTCTTTTTTTTTAAATCACTGGGAGTCCAAGCCCCTATCCTAGATAATTAAGTCAGAATGTTTATGCAGTCTTATTTTAACAGCTTTACTGAACTATAAATTCACAAACCATACGATTCACTCGTTTAAACTGTACAAGTCAATAGTTTTTGGTATATTACATTATTTTTTAAGTTGTGGTAAATATATATAACAAAATTTGCCATTTTAACCATTTTAAGTGTACAAGTCAGTGGCATTAAGTACAATACAAAGTTGTGCAACCATCACCATTGTCTATTCCCGAAACTTTTTCATCACCCTAAATAGAAACTCTGTATCCATTGAGCAATGACTCCTTATTCCCCTCTTCCTACAGTGCTGGAAACCAACCTCTAATCTACTTTCTGTCTCCATGAGTTTGACTTTTCTACCTGCTTCTCATCTATTGATGGGCATTTGGGTTGTTTCCAACTTGTGACTATTGTGAATACTATTGATGGGCATTTGGGTTGTTTCCAACTTGTGACTATTGTGAATAATGCTTCAATGAACATTGGTGTACAAGAATATGGTTTAGTTCATTTTCTCTCTTCTTTTTGTTTTCTATTTCACTCATTTTCACTTCAATCTTCATAATTTTTGTTCTTCTACTTTGAGTTTTATTTGCTTTTCTTTTTACTGAAGTGAAAGCTGAAGGTTTTGAGACTTTGTTCTGTTCTTTTCCCCCCTTTTTTAAAATTCAGTGCAGAGATACTTTCTTTTTTATAATTTATTTATTTTATTTATTTTAATTTTGGGGGTAGGTAATTTGGTTTACTTATTTACTTATTTATTTAATGGAGGTACTGGGGATTGAACCCAGGACCTGGTGCATACTAGACATACACTCTACCACTGAGCTAGACCCTCCTCCTCTTCTGTTCTAATATATGTGTTTAGTACTTAAAATTACCCCCTATCACTTTTGCAGAATGCCATAGATTATATGGTGTGGTTTCATTTTCATTCAGTTCAAAATATCTTCTAATTTATTTTTTATTTCTTCTTTGGCACATGTGTTACCTAGAAGTGGAATAGTTTTCAAATATTTGAGAATTTCCCAGAGATCATTCTGTTACTGATAGGTAATTTAATTCCATTGTTTTCAGAGAATATATTTTGTGTGACTTGAATCCTTTCAAATTCATTGAGACTTATTTTATTAACTAGAATATAGCCTATCCTGGTAAATACTCCATATATACTTGAAAAGAATGTATTTTGCTATTATTGGGTGGAATGTTTTATAAATGTCAGCCAGGTCAATTTGGTTGATAGTGTTGTTTACTTCTACTACATCCTTGCGGATTTTATGCCTACTTGTTTCATCAATTATAGAGAGAAGAGTATTGAAATCTCTGACGAGAATTGTGAATTTGTCTATTTCTCCTTGCAAGTTTATCAGTTTTTTTTCCATTTTCAGAATAGGTGTTTTCTGGAATTTATTCCTCTTTAATGCTGAATATAAAATCTGAGATTTCACCAATGCCTTGAGAGACAAATGCACACAAGTTGAAATCTAGAAACAATAATTATGCAGATCAAAGTGGGCCCTGACACTTTAGAAAAGATGTTAAATGAAAAGCATTTCTAGAAAAAGCAAAACCCTAGATAGCAAAATCAAATAAAAGACAAAACAAAACAAAACAGAAAGAGGCTTTGGTACCTTTCAACAACAGAAGACAAAAATAAATTTAGTGCATTATTAAATTCATGTAATATAAAAACATCTATGTGGGAGTGTTGCATAAATCTATAAAACAGAAACAAATCTAAAATGTATTAGAGTCTGAGAGAAAAAAAATCTTACTTTTCACCTCTGATTTTAACAGAATACCAGAATTTGGAAAAACAAGTACTTCCCCAACTAAATTTTCTTCCAGTCTGCATACACCTTAGCACGATGGCACTCTGTTTTAAAGTTTAAAATT